TAAATAGTATGCAAAGGCACCATAAATGGTTCTAATTTTTAATTTTTACAGTGCTATTATTGCCACCAGATATGTCTCAGGTAATTTTACTTTGACAAACATTGAATTTCTAACCAATATGACTTGTTACAAAATGTTCAAAGTAATTGCTAATTGAGATAAAAAAAAAATTGTCAACAATTGTGATATAATTATCAATGGCTTGGGGGTTGTGAAGAAGGAAGGAAGAATGATGATTTGATCTAGGATCTATAAATTTTAATTATTTTTTTTATATATGTACTGTGAGGAAGAATAAGTACAGCAACAGCAACATGATCGTTAATAATATGATCATGATAATGCTCATCAAGATGAATGCTATTTTGCAGGAAGCTAATTAGATAAAATGATTTGAATATATTAAAAATATTTTATGGGATTTGATTTGATTAATCACAAGGCAAGTTTCAACAAAAATATTATTATCCAATATTATCCATCAATATTGTTAGATATACCAGCTTTTTGTTGCAGTTTCTCCAATAATTCTTTATTTATACATAATTGTTGATATAAATCATGATTAATTTCCTTAAAAAGAACCAAAAAATAATTGCAAATTAATAAAAAGAATTCATCCACAGCCATCCATAAATCAAATAATATAAATAAATAAACCTGTTTAGAAATCATCACGCATTTAAAATCATTTTTTAAAGATTCCAGTTCATTCTTTAATCTTGTAATTTTATTTAAAGCTTTAGACGGATTTATTGGCGCTTTATGTTCAATTTCATATTTACGAATTATTTCTGAATCCAGCATTGCTTCAATAAATTCTAGTTCTAAATATAAATAATATTGGTAATATAATTATTAAATTTTTTTTTTTGCAAAGATATTTCATTTACAAACAGAAAACAATTTATTATACCAGTCACTGCTTTAGAAAATTCTACTTTTAAATCTTTTATTGCTGTCTCAAATTTTAAATTTTTGTTAGAAGCCTCCATTACAAAAATCCAAATACAAAGAAAAATATTTTCACGAGTGACGTAATTGATGAAAATCCTATACCATATAGCAGATTCCCAAATTTAGTACTTTGGTGATCAAATACACATTTCATGGCAATTTAACTGGCTCAAATCTGTTTTTGAACTATTTGAACTTTTGAGTCGTTAATTGGTTAAATAATCGGTTAGTTATTTAACCAATCTGCAAGTTATTTAACAAAGTTCTTTCATTACACATCCAGTCAGAACAGTATCAAATATATATGTACACTACCCGGTTAATATCTCACTGTCATTGTCATTATCATAATCATTATCTTCATTAAATACTAAAATTTGTTTAATGTGAGGGAAGAGAATTCCTATTTTTTATTAAATAGTGGTGTGTATGAGAATGAAATCTATTGAGTATGTGAAAATTAGATTGCGTATTGCTTTTCTTTCATGTTTATTAATTAAAACAAATCTTCAACCTTTACTGAGAGATTAATGTTAATGAAAAATATACAACAGGAAGGAAATGTTGATTTATTGGATCAGTGATGATGAGTTTGATTCATACAAATTTAAATCTTTAATAATTCGAGGAATTCAAAAAAAACAAAATCTCATTGGTAGTTGGAAACTTGCAATTCCAGCCTCTAGAAACTAACACCTCTTGCAAAATTCCTTCGCACTTACAGTTCACAAAATTCAAGGTCTTACCTTACCACATGCGATAGTAAGTGTGGATGAAAATATGATTGGATTCCATCGAAATATTTAAATTTTGTATTACACAGATAATTTTTTTCTTTTATTTCAAAATGAATAATAAAAATAAAAAAGTTACAATTATTAAAAATTCTCTAAACGGTATTATACTTTTTAAAACGTACAAAGTTAATTGTATTATTATTTTTATTTATTTGTATTTATATTTGGTTGTTTAATAGATTGTTGGGTGTATATTAATAATGATGATGATAAAATCAAAAAAATCCTAGAAAATTATCATAATTATAATTACAGCACCAACAACAATGAAAATAATAATGATAATAATGTAGGTGAAAATGATTCAAATAGTGATGGTGAAATTGTTGAAAATGGAGATATTGAAATTGAAATTTATGAAGAAAAAGATGATGAAGATAGTGATAATGAATTTGATAATAAAGATGACACTGAAAATAATAATCAAAATAACAATGAATTTTTTTGTACAGTTCCAAATTGTGGAAAATCTTTCAAGAATGGGTCTTTACTTAACCGACACAGTAAAATTCATAAAAAAGATTTCAAATGTGAATATCCAAGATGTGCAAAAACATTTTCTCAAAAAAGTAATTTACTAAAACACACAAAAACTCATCTTGGAATAAAAAATTTCAAATGTGAATATCCAGGATGCGTAAAAGCTTTTTATGGAAAAGATAGTTTACTAAGACACATGAATTGTCATGGAATAAAAAATTTCAAATGTGAATATCCAGGATGTGCAAAAGCTTTTTGTCAAAATTTTGAATTAAAAGTACATACAAAATATCATCTTGGAATAAAGAATTTTAAATGTGAATATCCGGGATGTGCAATATCATTTTGTCAAAAAGGTGATTTACTAGTACATACAAGACGTCATCTTGGAATAAAAAATCATGGATGTGATGTACCTGGATGCGACAAAAGATTTGTTACCAAATATGAACTCAGGATCCATGATAAAATTCATTGATAGATTATTGATCCAATCATGTTGTGCATTACACTAATCATAAATATAATTTTTTTGTCTTTAAGAAAGCATATTTCAAAATGAATAATAATAATAATAAGTTCCAATTTAAAAATTTTCCAAACTCTCTAAATGTTATTATAATTTTTAAAAACATATAATAGTTAATTATTTTATTTTATTTTTGTTTATTTTATATATTTGGTTATTTTAATAGGCTGTTAATAATGATGATGATAAAATCAAAAAAACATCATATTTATAATTACAGCACCAACAACAATGAAAGTGGTTTTATGATTCAAATAATGATAATGAAATTGATGAAAATGAAGATAGCAATAATGAAAATTGATAGTAAAGGATAGTAATGGAAGTAGTGATCAAAATAAAAATGTTTTATTTTGTACAGTTCCAAATTTTGATAAAATTTTCAAGTATAGATCATTACTTAATCAATAAGTAAAATTCATGGTGAAAAAATTTCAAATGTGGATATCCAAGACGTACAAAGGCTTTTTGTAAAAATAGTGAATTGCTAGATCATACAAGGCATCACCTCGAAATAAAAAATTTCAAATGTAAGTATCCAGGATGTGCAAAAGATTTTTGTCAAAATTGTAATTCACAAGAGTTCATTTTGGAATAAAAAATCATAAATGTGATGTGCTTGGATGTTTGGATGTAATAAAAGATTTGTTACCACATATGAACTTAAGATCCACAGTTGCATTATAATTATTTAGAAATTTTAAATTGTTGTGCAAAGAATGTATGTATTGGCATATATGATATCAAGGCTTAATTAATCAGATATTTGTTGTATACAATTCACGACAAATTACTTCATCCAAGCATGCTTATATATTACATTTAAATCATTACTAAAACTTTCTAAATAGTATTGTACTTTTTAAAAAAATATAAATTATATTGCTATTTTGTATTTATATTCGGTTATTTTGGTAGATTGTTGGGTCAAAAAATTATCATATTATAGCAACAACGACATTGAAAATATAAGTGAAAATGGTCATGATATAGTGATGGCCGATCTTCACTACCTTTAAAAACGCGTACCGACCATTTAGTTCTGTTACTGTTACTATTGACTATACAGGAAATGGTTTTCGCCCACTTTCAGTAATTATTTTCAACCCAAATGTAATTCAGGAATAATAAGACCAAGTGTAGAAGCAATTATTTTACCTTTAGTCATAGTTATGTATGTAGAATTAAATATATAATAATGCACAATTGTATAGTAAACAAATGGACACATTATTTTGATGTTGAAAAATCTTGTCATGAACCTTTCTTATATATATGTATATTAGCTTTAATTTTAGAAATATATCAAACTTTTTTAATTGAATTTATTGTCAATAAAAATCGAGTATTTTTTTAATTCGTGATTTGTGACAAAATTAATAAATTCAAACCTAGGGAATTAAAACGTACATTTTATATTTTTCCAAAAATAGCATCTTTCGCAAGTTTCAAAAATTAAATGTTTTTTTTTAATAGGCATTAAAAAGAGAAATATAATGTGTAGGTTGTGATTTCTGGACACACCGGACATACTTCGTTCACAAGTGAGATGTTATGGTTGTTTATTTAATATATATATGATAAATATAAAGTCAAAAAATTGATAAGAATACAGGAGAATATACATATATATAGATGAAATTCTTAGAGCAGTGCATAATAACAAAATCATATGCAAGTAACAAAAATAAAAGTATCATCCATTAGCAGTTCTTAGTAGAAGATCGATAAAAACCGCAGCATTGCCTATTCGAAGTCTTTCAAAGGATACAGATTTCTCAAAAGATCAGCTCTCAACGCTTCGTTAGGAAGAATGGAACTAAATTCTAATGTAATAACCAAATCTTTAATTCATAAAATTTAAATTTAAATAAACATAATAATAAATCCTTAGTTCTTCTAAAAGTCTTAATTGAAACATTATTATTTAATTTTTATTGAATTTGCTTTATAATTTTTTTTTAGTGTCTTTTCTTCTTGTTCAGTAATATCTATAAAATAATAATAATAATATAACATCATATACCATATATTTCATAAAACAATAAATGACTTTTTATTATTTTTTTGTATAAAAGGTATAATGCTTCCTCTTCAATATAGCTAAAAAATTATTTGAATAAATCTATAATATGCCATATTTTTTTTTTGTATAAAAATATAAAGCTTTTTCTTCAATATATTTGTACTTTCTGTATAGCTCACTATAAAAATTACATTCAAGTCTATTCTTAATTTTATTGAGTACCATATAAAGAGAGTTCATCTATATCATCTTCCATTGCAGGCGTTAAATCATCATCAGGTAAATGTATCCATTCTCGTAAACCTTCAATATCACCGTCAACTGAAGGAATGAAAGAACGAATTTTTTTCTGAAGTTTTTCTTGTTCAATGAATTCATTCCTTATAACCGCAAAAAAATTAAAGATTTTTGAATAGCATGTGATAGCTTCAAAAGGAAAAGGAATTATACATGAAGCTAATTCTATGGCTAAATACTTTTTTTTATCAACAAGGGAAATGGCAAACAGAGTTAACCGGTCTCCAATTGCTTGAATACTGTATGACCTGACTTTCTTGGCATCATCTATTGGACAATCAAAGTTATTTGAAAGTATACTGCACAAATTACAAATAGCCATCACGAGTAATTTTTTTGCATCCCCAACTGTGTGTTTTTTGTTGGGTTTATAAGGTGGCCCAGACACCTCAATATATAAAATTTCAGTTGCATCTGTTAACCTCAAAACTAGCAGATCGGCTTTTCGGGGTCTCACATCAATCATAAACATATTGCTCGCATCTTTTAATGATTTGACATCCTTTTCAATCCACTCATATTTCACATCGGGAAATGCATTTCTGAATGCACGAAGAATCGGCGAAAGGCATTCAACAATGTATGATCTTTCAGACATATCCCGAACTAAAACCTTAGGTGATAGATACTTGAACATTGCGATAAAATCTAGTAAGGTGTGCCTTATAAAAAAAAGAAACCTAGATTCCTCGCTTGTTTCGCTATCTTTTTCATTTTCTGTCTCTATCATTGTTTTCGTAATAATTTCTGAATAATCCGTCTGGAAGATTACACCAAGTTTTTTAGTTATTGAACTTTTTAAAATCAGTTTGTTTCTCATCCTGAGAAATTTTTCGATTTCTTCATATAAATTCTTTTCTGTTGTTTCCTTAACAAGATGTACTGTTGCGTTGAAGGCACAAATTATATGCGTTGAAATTTGATTGTAGGTTGTTCTTGTTATAATTGGTTTGTTTGGCGTTATAATTAAAGAATTCCGAGTTGTAGGGCAGGGCGTCAATTCACGTTCATAAGTTTGGTACTTGATGAATTCAAAAATAATAAAAATAATGAGAATTGTATAATTTTCAATTATGCAAAATAGTAAAAAGAATAATTACATAATATATATCTGAATCAGAGATCTCAGTATAATTAAATCTTTCTTGTTTTCTAAGATTATATCTTCTCGTATGTTCTTCCTAAGGAAAGTCATAAAAAAACAACATATTCCAGATTAGAAAAGTATTTTCGGATGTGTAATTAATCATTTATGGAAACCTACCTCATCCTTTTCCTCTGAATTTTGTTCGGCATTAATCACTTTTGTATCACTTTCCTCTGAGTTTTGCTCGGTATTAACAATTTCTGTTTCACTTTCTTTTGAATAATCCTTCTGATAAACACGTCAGAAAGATAAGAAAAGGTGAGAAACCATTTTTGCACGTTGGACGCTGGATTATATCCTGAACTTTCTTATAGCCATCCAAAACAATGAAAAATACAACACCTTATTTTCCGAAGTTCGTAGCTCGCTCTGCCCACATTGACGTTTGTACGAGCGATCATCACCTATATCCTCTAAACGTCTCGTAATTTTCTCGCGAACTAATTGTTCCTGCCTATCATGTTGGAAGGTCGAGTATATAGTGGCCGTAGTGAGTTCATCCTGTTACAATAGACAAGTTAGTGTTTACATCACGCTATGTGCCTTGTTATATTGACAGATCAGTATTCCGTACCAGCAAAACTGAGCGTTCAATTGCATCTACCAATTTCCTTTTTTGCACCAACGTAATTGCCTTCCAGAAGTCATTAATTAAGGGTGACTTTTTTTCCTTCTATTAACAAAATATTTAGCAACAAAAAAAAATAAACCAACTCAATGAGAAACATAGCCACCCGAGTCGCAACTCACACACTCCCAATCGCAATCAGGGGTGCCGGGTGGTTAATGAAACCCATAAAATGTGCAAAACAGCCACCCGAGTCGCAACTCATGAATTCCCAATCGCAATTGGGAATTTTGGGTAGTTGAACACATTTCAGCAGGACGGAACCACCTGAGTCGCAACTATGCATCCCCAATCGCGATCAGGGATGTTAGGTGGTTGAACGCAGGTCGCAACCCCATCCAAAAAGGCTATTGCCCCTTCAGATCCGTTCACTGCCAACAAAATATATCAAGAGGTAATACTTAACTTGTACCAAACTAAGCGCGTCGTTAGCCCGTTCAATCAATTCTGTGGATGCTTGTTCATAGCTGATAATACTTGCAAGGCTACGAACATATCGGTTGTGTTCTCCACATCTGTCGGCACGGAAATCAGTATATTGTTGTCGAAATAGCAAAAAATTTAACAAAGACCACTCGCGGTCCAAAGTAAAAAAATCAGGATCATCTACTGGGATTCCTAGCAGTAAAAATAGAAGAAACTTAATAATCACTGATATGCAAAATAGAGTGTGCTAAAATAAACTTACCTTCCTCAGTTTCATGAGCAGAAGTCAACATGTCTTTATTGGTAAATATGTATATAGTATGAAACGAACTTTTTTGGTGTAATTATTCTTATGATCAGTGTATAAAGAAAGTTATTTTTATTCAGTTGGGATAATGCAACCATAAAAATCAGCCAATAGATATCAATAGATAACAACATTTTAATAAAAAAAAAATTGTGTAATCATAATGTTACACGGCGAATTGCTTATGATCAGATATGTGGACTAGGAAAATTGCAATAATAGTTGTGCCAAAGTGTTCCCTATGAAACCATTTATAACTACTTGGAAGGCTGTGTCAGAAAAATTTTGACTTTAATTATAAGGAACTGATTTGTAATTATTATAGGATGAATTACAATTTAAAATTTATTTTCACGATGATGTTCATGCTCAATACATATTTTTCTTTGTGTGAAATGTACAAGACGCTATCGCCTCTGATGTCTCGATATCTCTAAGACTACAAACTCCTTCAGAAGCAACATCAAATTGGCGCATAAAAATACTTTACATTAGTCTTTGGTGATGATATAGAAAGTTTTAATATCACGAGCTCGCGTCATCAGAACAATATAACAAAGCTGTCATCTCCGAGTAGCCTACACATTGTAAACAACTTCGTTTCCACATATAGACTTCCAAACTTGCAAGACTAAAGCCAGAGTATCCCCAATACATCCATGGAGTTGAATCCAGTACTAGTAGGCTAATGGATACCCAGAGTTTCCTTCTTGATTCCTGGGGTTGAATCCAGAATAACAGGTTGAATAGGTTCCCCCATTGACTAAAGCCTTTGCAAATTCGAAAACCCAACGATATTCTCACTTCACTGGAAAATGCGCTAATCATCATATGCTAATAAAGTCTTTATTATCATAAAGCTTATCAACTAACCTGTAAAGAAATCGTCCAAAGTTTATTTTGTGCTGATATATTATCAGAATACGCATTTATTGCCAAATTCCAAGGGTCATCTTCCATGGCCTGGTAGATGACAGAAAAAGCGGTAATATATTCCAATGGGGAGGTAGTAAGAAAATTAAAGATTTCTCCAGATAAATTGTTAGTCACGTTTGCGTAATTAATTTGAAATAATGTTAGATTTGTTAATATGTTGAGATAACACCAAAAAATAAAATCATTATAAAAACAATGAATATTCATAACTCGAGATACTGTCCTTTTTAAACGTTTTCTTCCATCTCTTCCTCTAGATCTATCAAATGAATAATTTGAATAACAAAGCAATGTAAATGTGTATTTACGCCAAGGATTCCTATCAACAAAAGTATTTGTTGAATCTTTGATAATGAGTGTTTGGAATGTGCTCTTAAACATATACAATAAGAAAAGAATCTAAAATAATGAGTAATTTTTCATTATTAATATTCCAAGTAAATAATTATATACAGATATTCTTACCACTTAGTTTACGAAGCAATGTATCAATATAATGTTATTACAAACTTGATAATATTTCCAACCTTGATAAAATCAAGATTAGGAGTTGATGATCCATAATCCTAATCGAAAAGTTGATAATTCAAGAGAATAAGTTAGCATCTAATTTATTGAATTTACTTTTAAAATCTCATTTTTTAATGCATGACAGACAAAATAAAAATCAAATTGGTATATATATTCAAATTGAAGGAGTATTGGATTATGAAACCAAAGGTCCAAACATTTGTGACATTATTGTGAAATTGCAAAGAACTCAATAAGTTAGAGCAAATATTATCCAAGGTAGTAAAATTTAAATTATACAAAGATCTTAATTACATCAAAAGTTTTTACTCATTAACATTTTACAAACATAACATTAACAACACTAAATCATTTAACGGATTTTCAAAGGGAAGACTGCATTAGGTGTCTACAATACAAATTTATTAGACATGGAATTTTGGAAATGATGTGGTTAAAAAATCTAGAGCCTGGATATAAAAAAATTAATAGATGTTATGGGAATAAAACATAATAATAATTAATTACCGTTTAGGCTTAAAGAAAACGGATTAGGTCGGCTTGAAAGTAGTCGGTGAGAAACAAACTGCCCTTTCCATAGAAAAGAGGGAAAGATTTATTAAAATCATTGTAATTCATATATATAGTTAAACAGGGAATATGTTTGGAATAAATTAAGTAAATATTCACTAGATTAAAAACCCAGATAATATCAGGAAAGTTGAATGATATTTGTAACAAAATCCCATTGCAAATATTTTCGCAGAACGTACAAATCATATCATAATAGATGTTGTATTTTACAATATTTTCATGAAAGCTATTTCTTAATTCTAAAATTTCATCCATAACTATAAATTCTACCTTTAAATATTAAAAAAACATTTTACAATTTCTTTTCTAAAATTTGAAATGTTCTGTGGATTATTTTGTGGTTTTTTTGTCTTTATGCAGTTATTTCTTTAGCTGAAACTTCTTTTGTTAAATTTCCTTCAGTTCAAAGTAAGCTTTCTATGAGCAGGCTTTCCTTAGAAATTCGCCCAGTTTTTGTGTTTTATATTTTCATCACTTCTTGTTTATTTCAAATTTAGTTCCTTGGTAAGAGTTGATCCTTCTTTGCTTTTCTCTTGTCTACTTTTCTTTTCTCTCAATGAAAGATGAACTTTCGTCTGATACCTTTTTGAATTCCTGTTTATGAGCTTTTCATTTTTTTTTAAATTTTTCCTTTCTTTTGGTTCCGAGTTTTGTTTAATTATCCGTCTTCTTTCCCCAATCCAATCCTTACCAGTTTCTCCAGTTTATCGAAAAGAACTATATAGGTTGTAGGTTTTTATTATATTTTCGTAATATTAACAATATCCCTGTTTTTAATCAAAATCATTTCTATTTATAAAGATAAATAAAAAAATAAAAAAAATAAAAGATCTTATAATATCAGTGATATGGTGATTGACTCTTATTCTAGTTATAATATAATAAAAAGTTTTCAATACCTCTTGATTAGATGGAGGGGAACCAAGTAACAATAATAATGGTAGCATAGTAATCGAGAATTTTTAGGATTTACCAAAGAACAAAAGTTCAAATGGACATGTAGAGATTTAAATAATAATAACTACGATATTAATGGTAATAATATTATATTCGTTTAAAAAAACTTTGATTGGTTTAATAACATTACTAAGTTTCTCAATCCATCAGATCCTGAAATAAGGAACATGTTCTGTATTGATATAAACCCCTTCGCATAATACACCACTAATGTGCCTTGTTATAAATACAGTGTGTTGCGAAAAAAATGGCACTGATGAAGAATAGCATATCTCAACAGCTACAAAAGGTAATTTGATAAAATTACATTCATTTAAAAGCCTATTGAATAGTTTGTTAAATAAAAAAAATTTGTTATGAATTACTATTATCATTTTTTTGTAAAGTTGATTCGCATCTTTTTTTTAGATGTCACTAAATTTTTTGACTTCCACCAAAAAGTATTAGACATCTCAAGGGTAACAATTGAACAAAAACGTACATAATAATAACAAAAAAAAATACAGACATTTTGCAGCTCAAGTTCTAGAGATTATTTATATAAAATCCCATGCTTCCAAATTTTCTAGAATTTTATCAATTAAAAATAAAGTAAATTCAATTATTTTTGGAAAAAGAAATTTAATATAATAATTGCTCTAGAGCCTACATAATGGCGCATTTCAAAATTTCTATATGTGATAATTCAAGATTGTCTGATACTTTGATATAATTTTTACATTACTTCTTTAGTTAAAATGCAGGTGCCATTTTTTTTCGCAACACACTGTATAATGTTTATTTGTATTAATTGGTCTCAGGGCAAATAAAACTGGTAAAACAATTAATCCTCTTACAAACTTTCATACAATCCTCTGGGAATGGATGCACATCTGAAGTAAAAGAATAAATTCCACTACAACGCAAATGGGTATTCATTGCCTTTAAGATACAATAAAAAACGTCATTATTCGTGAATGCATAATTAACAAATGGAATCCATGCTGTTTTGGAGTAACAGGTCCACAGACTATATTGGACTTTTACTCATCCATAGAAAATGAAAAAAAAGAATTTGTGAATTCCTCCTCCCTTTCCTCCATCCTATTGGTAAGATATAGTGCATATCATTCATTAAACTCTCTTATCTAAGTATTGAGGAGGTCTTGAGAAAAAGTTTTCATTTGCATATATAAAGGCTATGAAAAACATTAAAATTTTGTCAATATGCTATTATTATCATCATCATTATTATTATGAATGCTTATTTTCCAAGAATAATATAAGATAAAAAAAATCATTATTATTTTTTAAAATCAATTTACTAATATTTCCAATCCTATGTATGATAAGAATAGGTGCAGATCTAAATATCGATGATAGTATCGTCCTAATAATCCAGGTGGTGCATGTTGAGGCAGATGGAGACCTTTTGAAAGTTTGCGCTTAATTGTGTATATGCTGCAATTCCTGAAGCAGAAAGTAAATTTTGTGTGCAAATATAATTAAACACTTATTATTAACCGATTTACCATAACTCTTACTTAATGTATACCTTTTACCCTTGCAATTATGTTATGAAGGTCAAAAAAAAATTTTTTTTTTGCAAGATATGCCTTATTTTTTTTATCTCATGCTTCCAAAAAAAATATATTTAATAAATAATTTATAATACAATATATATATATATTCAAAAAAGAAAAAAAAAAAATCTAATGTTCTCAAATTCCCAAAAGAAATTAACCTCTCAAACTTAATTTAAAAAAAATAATTATACAATTAAAAAAAAATTATATATATATAAAATTAAATCATTATTGTGGAAGTTATATCAAAGTTTCTTTTTAATTTAAACAAAAATGTGGGAGCTTCATTTTACTTGGTATTTTGCAAAGATAATTAATGGTCTTCTTTTTCAAGCTTAGATAATAATTCATCAACATCATGGTCAACATGATCATTTGGGTTTATTTTAGATAATCTTGTTGCAGTTCGTAAACTTAAATTTTCATTTCTAAATAATGGACTTTGGAAACTTCCCTCTTCACTACTGCGTGAATCACTTTTTGCAGCAGCATTAATAGCAGCGATTATATCAGAACTTGGAGAGGTTGTAGTTGTAAATTTTGTAGGAGTTACATCACCTGATTCAGTAATTGAGTTCAATTGAGTATCAATTTTTGGTCGTGTGCTGCCAATATGTGAACTTCCAGTACTGCTGGAACGTGAAGGCGTATATATACTAGAGGTTGCAATAGATGATGCTTTAATTCTATCATTATTAGCTTGCATTAATTGTAAATATGATGAATCTGATCCATCATTATTTGATGATGTTATATCATCATTGTCATTGTCATTTTCTCCATAGTTTAAAGTAGATGATGGGTAAGAAAATATTGGAGATTGTGAGCGTGGCTGATAAGGATTATCAAGATAATCATCAACACTTCTAGAAGCATCATTTGGATCATCAATAGTGAGTTTATTACTATCAAAACTATTTTTATTTTTTAATGTAGATGGTAGTGTTAAAGATGGTAGTTGATAAGGATTGCCAAGATAGTCGTCAATACTAAATTGTTTTCGAGGAGAATTTCGATGAACATCATTTGGATCAACAATAGTGAGTTTACTACTATCAGAACTATTTTTATTTTTTAATGTAGATGGTGGTAATAAAGGTGGTGGTGGGACTGGCAATGATGATGTTGAACGGTCTGATGTGTTTTTGTTTGATGTTAAATAATTGGGTGATTGATTAAACAGTAGATTACCAGTTAATGGTGGTGAATAAGGCTGATTTAATCCATAAGGTGTTGTGAAATATGAATTATGCCTTTTTTCTTTCCTTTTACATACATAAATGATTAAACCAATAATTAACAAAACTACTATAAATGCTGCTACAGAAATTATTCCTATAATATATATTGGTAATGGTGGTGATGATGATGATGATGAATCATCTTGTCCAGAATTTGAAGAATTTGTTGAGGGACTTGGATCTAATGATGATGATGATGATGATGTAGCAGAAATATCTGTAGAAGTTTGTGATGGTGCTGGTGTCATAGAAGTTGATGGTTGTATTGGAATATTAGGTGTGTATGTTTCCAACCATGTATAATTTGTGGAATCAAGTATAAATATATTTGATGCTGTATAAAAAGTTTCAGTTGTCTAATATAAAATAAACATTTTATTTTTAAAAAATATATAAATAGATATATATAAATAACGTAACATTTTACTCACCATAAATCCTATGTAATAATTTGTTTAAAAAAAGTTGTTGAAATTAATAAATAACTAAACTAATAAATTAATTTTCTGACAATTATTATAATTATTTACCATATGTAATTATAATATTAGTTCCAACCATTGTCATTGTATGATCAAACAATCCTGGTGGTTTAGTTATTCCTTCAGTTTGGATAATTTTCCATGTCAGTGTAGTTGTATCAAGTTCTAACACATCATCATAAATAACTGATCCATCAGCATTACGACCACCATAAATAATAATTTTCTTGTCTATTGCTAATGATAAGCAGGAAGAAAGATATATGTGTTGATAGATATGCATGTAAATAATCAATTAATTTTGCTACAAAGATATTTAATATTTGAAAACTTACTTCCAACAGCTCTATGACCTCTTCTTTGAGGAGGATTATCACCTAAAACAGTCTAAACATTTAAAATAAAATTATTTAAATAAATTATTTAAATTTAATAATTAAATTTAATAGTTATAATTATAATGTAATGTAAAAATATTTAACCTTAGTGGACCAACTATTTAGATTAGTGTCATAAATATTAATTACATTCATTGGCAATAGAGAAGGGCTTGTAACAGTCACCACATTATTAATACCACCAATAACATAAATGAGATCATCACTTAGTAAAGTTGAAGTATGATGAGAAATTCCATTTGCAAATGTTGATGTTGATACTGTAAATACATCTGTTAATGAATCATACACACATAATGTATTTAATGCATCACTGACTTCAGTATTTCCAGCGACAGGTATGGGGGATCCACCTAATATAAAAACTTTTGAATCATATTTGGTGACTGAAGTGTGTAGCACACGACTAGTACATTCTGTTGTAACTGCTTTAGAAGCTAATGACTTTGACTTGCTTGTTGTATCAAAAATATATAATGGATTTGGGGGTGCATTCCCACTTGACATACCACCAAATATTATTAATGAATTGTTATTTTGACCTCCAATTGACATACTGTGAAATGCAATAAGATTATCTGCTGTTAATAGACTCCATGCTGGATTTTTTGGATCAAAGTTTACTGATACATCCAAATACAATATCTCAGTTGTGTCAGTGCCATCAATAAACTCATCAATATTCTGATCATTAACTGGAGGCAATAATCTACCTCCATAAACATACAAACTTTTTTTGAAAGAGAAATAATTAAAAAATATTTTTGAAAATAATTTTTCAAGTGTATGTATTTAACTTACTATTTTTCACCCACTAATGTAGCTGCATGACCCCTATTATTATTATTTTATCATCATTACCATGATTATTATTATTATTGTTATAAATAAAATATTATCTTGTCACTTACCATCTTTTTTTAACTGGATCACAATTGACCAATAAAGAACCATTTAACAAAATTATTGATAAAATAACGATAAAATATTTTATCAATAATGATTTATTAAATAGATTATAATCAATTTTAAAAATCATATTAATATTCGTTATCATTGTGATTATTATTATATTATTAGGATATTAATATGATTAGTTTCTTTAAAAAATTATATTTACAAAAAATACATATTATAAATATATTTAAATTAAAAAATCCAATTTAGTTTTTTTATAAATTTATTATTCACTTTACTGATTTATATTTATTTTTTTGACGAATCACATGTTATACAAATTCAATTCTGTCCTAAAAATAGTCATACGAATATTAATTATCAATATGGAGATATTAATCTGAAATTGTCGTTTCAAATTATCAAATCATTCATTTTCGTTTAAATCATTTAAATCAAAGATGAACTTATTATTATTATTATGTTTTTATTTTGTTGACAAAACAAAACATATTAAAAAATGTGATCTTCAATAGAACCTAAATAGTTATATTAATTCGTACAAGATCGACAGGGCCAAGTTTTTTCACAAAAATCCAATATATTCATAATTTACTATCTCTTGTACCAAAACAACTATACCATATAGTATAGGAATGAAAAGTTGAAGTCAAACTCAATAATGTTTTTTAGTTCATGCTGTTAAACAGATTCAAACAGACAGATTCAAAACCTTGTTTTATTATGAGGTAGGCGAAGAATCCGTAACTTGTGAAACAGCTTCTGCTGCAATTAACATGTATAAAAAAATTACTAATAAGACAGGAATAGAATGATCCTAATATTGTTAGAATTATTGGGAGATGTTACAAATATGTTGATTGTCAACAATGCAGGTATAAGTTTTACCTGGATCCCATGCAAAAATGTCAGGCTCGACAGGCAAAATAAAATAGAATTATCAATGTAAAAATTAGCTTAATTTTATAATACAATCAATAAATATAATATAAATAAAAAAATAAATGATTCTAATAAAAACGAATTTTAATTTATATTTTAGAAATAAGATAAGATAATTTTTGAACTATTATTTGTGGCTGTGAAAAAATATATTCCAGCTTCTTTGGTCACTCTCTAAACTAATACTTCACCATATCCATTCTTTTCTCTAATGTAGTAGAATTAGTAACGCTTACTAATAATAGTCGCATCATTTTTTTTGAAAGTCAAGAAATGAACTAGTTATTTCCTGTGCAACAGAATATAACAAGAGGCTTTTCCTGTTACTATGGAAAACCCTATACCATGTTCCGCAGGAAATAAAATTGAAAATACCCAATTATTAGCCCAACCACTCGAATTAACTTTTTGATGAAACTAGACGATATAGAGCTAAAAACTATGTTGAAAAAGTTGAAGAAAGTCAAGTTGATAAAAAATGAGATTCCAAAACTCCAAACTATCCGTAGGTGAATAATTACTGCAATGAAAAACGCCAATAGAACATTGTCAGCCCAATTATAGAAAATCGATCAACATAACGACTGCCTACATATTTTTCTTTTTTTATAGATTTTTTTTTTTGCATGTTGTATAACAATTCCACAAACACAATTACGTTTCAAATTTTTTGATCTTGTATATATTAGCATTAGCGTTAGTATGTTAGTTGGTTTTTGCTAATTCGAATTACTATCATTGTTATTAATTATTTCTATATATGTTGGCCGAATTGATTTCAATCCTCCAATGAAATTGCGGCGTGTGTGTTTTTATGATTAATTTTTCTAATTTGCTTCTTTTTTTATATTTTACTATATTTAAAATTTCTTTTTGAAGTTGTTTTTAACCATAAAAATCATATAGTTGTATAAAAGGATATTTTACTCAACCCAACAGCATAACTGTCTTACCATCGGGTATTCTTTATATTACTAATTTGAATTACTGGTTATCATTGTAAAATTAGAAGTTTTTAAATATGAATGACTAATGTATATATATGTCTATGCAAAAAAACCTTCTTGTTATTGTTGTATACTATAATATGAAATTCCGATTGGCTAATTTTAAATTTCTCATATGTTTAATCGCAAATTCATTTTCACGCACAACATTGCCAAAGAAAGATAAAAATAAAAAAAGGAATCTTTCAATGTCTTTATAAATGATGTAGTAACAGGTGATAGATCTGCCATAAGGTTCATCATATATAAATTTTCTTTGTTGTAAGTAAGCAGTCTAAACATTTAAAAATAACAATATTTAAATAACTATTTAAATATAATATTTATAATTATGAATGATTACAATGTAATGAATGTAATGTAAAAACATTTAACCTTTGGGGGATAGAACAAAGTCGTATCAACCCCATCAGAAGTACCACCACCAATCACATAAATGAGATCATCACTTAGTAAAGTTGAGAAATTCCTTTTGGAAAAACATTTTTAGTATTGGTAGTGAAATTTTAAATGTGTCTGTTAATAAATCATAAACACATAACGTATTTAATGCATCACTGACATCAATATTTCCAGCGACAGGTATATTTGGTGACTGAAGTGTGTAGCACATGACTAGTAAATTCTGGTATAACTTCTTTAAAAGTTATATAATAACTTTGACTTGCTTGTTGTATCAAAAATATATAATGGATTTGGAGGTGCTTCCCCATTTGATGTTCCACCAAATATTGTTGTTTTGGCCTCCAATTGAAATTCTGGTGTTAATGGATTCCATATTGGATCAAAGTCCATCCAAGTACAATATATCACTTGTGTCAGTGCCAGTATTAAAATTAAAACCAGCTCCATATAACTTTTTTTGAAAAGAAATAATTAAACAAAAAAAAATTTTTGAAATGTATTTTACTTACTATTTTTCGCCTACTAATGTAGCTGTATTACCCCTATTGTTATTCATCATTATTATTATAAATAAAATATTATCTAGTCACTTACCATCTTTTTTGGAATAAAGAACCATAATTGTTGATAAAATAACGATAAAATACTTTATTTTAAAAATCATAATATTCATTATCATTGTGATTATTATTATATTATTAGGATATCAATATGATTAGTTTCTTTAAAAAACTGTATTTACAAAAAATATATATTATAAATATATTTAAATTTTAAATATTAAAAAAATCCAAATTAGTTTTTGAATGTTCATACAGTTGTGCTGTCTATTTACATAAGATCCTAATTGACAAATCGGCAAATGGTTTGTTATCTGTTTTGTAAAACACCTTTTCTAAAAAATCAATTACTTTGCCATCTGATCTTATGATATTCTTTTATTGATTATCAAATTCTCCAATCCCAATTAATGTAAAATCAAAATGAACCCCAAAAAATTTGGCCATGTCTCTCTTGTTCATTGTAATTCACTGGAGATGATACTTCCTAAATACCTTAATAGATGATTCAATGTTTGGTTGCTGATTTCAATATAACATTTTGATATATGGGCGAAATGAGTCAAATATTTTGTTATAATAACAAAATCTATTGCAGTTGCAAAAATTTGATTAATAAAGCCAAGAGTATTTTGCAAATTTAAATTGCCCTCTATAGCATCAACTTTTTGATTAAATGAATAAAAAACTTGCAATTATGTGTTTAAGTGATTTTGTTATACAGATAGCAGAAAACAATATTTGATTTGGTATTATTTCTTCTTGCAGTTTCCTGGGATTTTTGCCATTCCTATAAAAATTGAACAAAGACATTATCATATTTTGTGAATAAGATTAATACCAAAGAATAAAGTGACAATTAAAACTCCAATCTGAAACCGAATCGAAAATTTGGTTTTTCGGTCTCATCAACTATGCAAAAATATACATAATAACTTCACCAAAAAATAATAATAACTTGTAGCTTAGTTTCAGTGAATGTGTGTTGCAAAGTAGAGATGCTGGAATGATCCTGTTTCTAAATGCATACAGTCAAACCTCGTTATAACGGGCCCTCATTGTAACGGATTTACTAGTACTAGTCGCGTGTTTTTATATATTAATATGGAGCAAAAATGTTAAAAGTTCGTTATAACACGTATTTAATTATGTTACACTTCGTTATAACGAGATACAACTGTAGTAATTTTTATACCATGGCAACGAAGGTCCATTTCTTGCCAAAATTAAAATGGAAACTATGATTGAATTTTATTCATCCCATACAAAGTACCATGTTTAGATACAGCTGGTCAGTTATAGGCAGGATTATACTTGTCGTCGGAATTCCCAGATAGAAATAATACGGTTACGGCATGTGCCGTATTATTTACCGTAAATAACGTAAAAACTGTAATGCCGTAATGCCGTAATGCCGTAAAAGACAAAATTAATAGTGTATTAGTAATAGCATTATACTAATATCTATCATACAAATTTTTATTAATCAAAATTTAAACACTAAGATTTGTTTGGGTACTGAAGTAAAAATTAAATATACATATATATTTATATTATTAAAATAATAAACATTCTAATTCTCCAATAAAAAATTTACTCATTACTCTAACAAAAATTGCTTCAAAATTCATCAATAGCTATAATAATAAATATAAATTAAATAAAAATATCAAGATAAATTTAATACAATATTTAATAATCTACCCAAACTTAATACCTAATGTTAAATTATCTTCATTTTTAAGCTCCTCATTAATTTTATTCAACACTGATGAGATTTCTTTATTCAAAATAGTAGTTGAGAGGGTGGTTTTTCTCGGAAGATTATATCCAAAACACAAACTTTTTGCAAAATCCACAAAGAAAGGATGGCTTACAGTAGAGAATGGGATACCACAATATATAAAAATCGAACTTAAAATAAATGAATAGATGAGTAAGTCAATTGACAAATATATTATATAATATACATTTATATATAACTGTTTACCTAATGCTTGATTGATTCTCTCTCTCTTATTTGCATCAACTTCTGCAGAAGAATTAAAATAATTGGTGATTGATGAATTAGACGAATTTACTCTTTGCATTTTATTAAGAGGCGAAGATTGCTCTGCCAGTATTTTCATGTATTCAAATTTTACATCAGTTGGTACCGCACAACAATGCAAAGCTAGATTCCCTTTTAAAATTTCAGGTTTCCCCCTAGGCCAAGCTTCTGTGCAATAATGACATTTAGCAGAGAAGTGACCATTTTCTTTAATAAAATGGTCCCAAACCATTGACCCTTTTGTTTCTTTGACTAACTGACCTAACAGAACTTATGGAACTCGTTTTTTCCTTTAATAATTAAAACATATTATTATTGTTGCCATTAACAATTATTTTGCATTTGAGGAATTGATAAAAAATTATTCATACCACTATTAGAATTCTTATCTATATATTATGTTATATTTAATTAATTAATAAAACGTACTCTGAATAATTAAAGGAATGCAAAGATTTTTTTTATCTATATATTTTATTTAGAGAAATTTTGTATTATTTATTTACGGTATTATGACATTTACGGCATTACGGCATTGCGGCATTCGGCATTTACGACTTTAGGGTCTCATGCCGAAATTTATTTACGGCTTATACGTAATGCCTAATTTGCCGTAATTCAGGAATTCCGACGACAAGTATAGGCAGGATGTTTAGTTAACTCTTTATGTTGGGCAACCTCAATTTTGTATTGACATTTTTTGGCTGTTACGTCATAATTATAATGTAATAATAAATTGAGTAGTCAATAATATCAGAATTGGAAATGTTGGTGACAGATTAAATTTGTGAGTACTCCGGCAACATGGAGCACTCACAACCAATCAAACATCTGCCACGACCAATTTCCGTTCAATCTACCAATAGTTTCATCTTTATATAAAATACTGTTGAAAATGTAATTTTCCCTCTTGGCTAGCTAGATATTCTGTCATTTTTCTTGTAAATGGATCTTTCAAATTGCTGATTATTTATATGGTTGGTGAACCCATAAAATAAAAAGACAGGAAGGACATTCCTAAAGTCTTTTATTTGTGGACAAACCTCTGATCCATAAGCACATTCATGCTAACCTAGCTCTCATTAATAATACTTGATAAGAATGCCAAACTTAATGATTATATTTTAACAATGAAGAATTCCAAAAGCAATTAAAAGAAAATAACTCACTATCTAAAATGAAATCCTTTCTACAAAGTGAAAGCAAGCCAGAAGGAAGAAAATTAAACCCTTATTGAATTTATACTTTTGGGTTAATTACTCCAATTATCCTGTATGTAAAGTCATTGAATAATTAGAAAACCTTGGTAGTACATTGAAGGCCAACCAATCATGCTTTGAATACGTGATCTAGCTTTGACTGATGCGGATCATAATCTAAAGATGCATCAAAAATCAAAATATAAAATCTAATGGCACAATCTATTGAAGTCGTAATTTCTTTTGCTTCCCTACTAAATTGTCATGTAAATTTACCACCTATGTTCTCTGCAATTCTTTATGAAAATGATAAGGTATTGAATTATCCATTTTATATTGTACCATTTACAAAAAAAACCATTATCAACATCCAATGAATTCATTCATCATTTTCTTTTTTTTTTTTTAATCAATTTTAAAGCTTCCGCAAAATGTTATCCTGGAAATATCATGGTTAGAAACTAAAGTTAAACAACATAAAGCTTATGTTGGTTGGTCAGGGGGAGCTTCAAGATCATCGAATGTTCAAAAATTAGGAGTTGTGGAAATCGATCCACAATTTGGAACAGCAATTGGTTTGAAGGATGGTCAAAAGGTTAGCAAAATTTAAAAAAATGAATTCTTTATCAAAATCAATTTTTGAGTTGTATTAATATAAATATAAATATGTGTGTGTAAAGGTTTCAATTAAAATATGTGAAAATATTCAAGATGCAAAATCAGTTTTTGTTGAGCCATGTACTATCGAAGATTGGGAAATAGTGGTAAAGTAATCAAAAATAATTATTGAGAGTTTGAATTTATTGTTTGTTATTATTAGCAGTATTGACTTTAGTAAATACTTGTATATTGTTAGGATCATCGAGCTGGTTATTTGGAAAATTATTTTATTCAACAATTACATGTTGTATATCCTAATCAAATTATTACTCTTTGGATCAATTCAAATCTAACACAATTAAAAATTGGTAACACATATATATACATGCATACATTATATACTAATTCATTAATTTGATACTCACTAATTATATAATACTCTCTAGTTGAAATAAATCCTAAATGTTCCTTTGCAAAATTAAGTTCCAAGACAGAAGTTTATGTTACACCTAAACCACGTAAACCATTAAAACCTTCAGAAACAAATGATACCACCAAATCAGATGACAATACATCATCATCATTACCATCAATATATTGTCTAAGAGTTTTGCCTATTGAATATTTAGTTGAATCATCAAAGGGTTTGCTAGATGGTTGTGATGATAAATTTTGTACTGTTAATGTTCATCCATCAGATTTCGCAATTTTAGGATTACAAACAACACAAGCAGTAGTTTGTCTATCTAAAGTTAAACCAAATTATCTAACAAAAGATACAGCAGCAACAGCAGATGATTCTAAAGATATTGAAAATAAAAATCATCTTGTTCAAAAATTATTTGTTAAAGTTTTGGTAAATTTTAATGTAACACCAGGTCATGTTGCTGTTGGTGAGTATATCAGAGATTATTTAGATTGTGAACATTTTTCTATTGTCAGGTAAAAATTAAAAAATCAATTAGAAAATAATAAAGAGATAAAAATATTAATAATTATTAGTGGTAATAATCAATTGAAATTACCATTATCATACTACTTAAATCATTAATTTAGATTAACTCCAGCATATTCAAATTTTACTTCTATTTCAACTATAAACATCCATAATACCTCAAATCAAATATTTCCAAAAATTCATCAAAATGGAAGGTAATTAATAAATCTTTATTTTTATATTTCTAATCAATATATTATTAACAAACCATCAAAACAGTAAGTTAATAAAACATCTAAATAAAGAAATTAATAAATAAGTAACAATTATTATTATTATATTGTGAATCTATTAGATCATCAATTGAATTTATTTCAAATCTAGCTGGCGTTTCAAATTTATCTGAGAAACTGGAAGACTATTTAAGATCTTGTTTAGGAAAAGCATTTTTGAGAAGTTCATTAAACATTCCAGGTATTATAATTATATTATTTATTCCAATAAGTTATTATTTCATTTTTTAATAAAAAATTAAAATTTATTTATTATATTAGTAATTGGTGGATTGTTATTATGTGGAAGTCGTGGATCAGGCAAAACTAGTATTGCTAAGAATATTTTATATAATTTACAAAGAGATTTAAAAACTTTAGCATGTAGTTATTAAATATATATATATATATATTTATTTATTTATTTTGATAAATTAATAATAATTAACAATTACGTATATAAATTATATTGATAGATGTTTTGACTGTCAAATGTACTGAACATACAGAAGAGCGTATATCAACATTAAGAGAAAAACTTCAATTGTGGTTTGATGATGCAGCATGGCATGCTCCCAGTATTATTTTATTTGATGATATTGATCGATTAATTCCTGCCGAAGTTGAAGTATTTGTTAATTTATAATCATGATTGCATATATTGTTGACATGATAAATATAATTAATATTTACCATTTTGTTTAGCATGTTGATTCTTTTAGATTTCGTCAAATTGCTGAATGTTTTTTTCAGATTGCATCAAAGATGATAAAAAGACATCAAATTTCTATTTTTGCTACTGCCCAACAACAAGAATCTGTTCATAAACTATTAATTACAACTCATTTATTTAGTGAGATTAAACTTTTAAATCCACCAACTAAAATTGAAAGACGTGATGTAAGTATAACAAATAAATAATGGTAGCATCATCATAATTAAAAAGTCATTAAAATAATAATTTTTAGATTCTTGAAGCAATAATGTCATCAGGTCCAACATCATTGCAAAAAAGTGTTTCCAGTCTAGATTTACTTTCAATAGCTAGTGATTGTGAAGGTTATTTAGCTGCTGATCTTAAAGCTTTGGTTGAACGAGCAATACATGAAGGTGCTACAAAAAAGTTGTATGATGATGTTGATGTTGAAAATGCAGATGATGGTGGAAATGCGAAGGATTTTTTTTTATTAACTCAAGATGATTTTCAAAAAGCACATGAAGGCTTTGTTCCAATTTCACTTCGAGGTGTTAAATTACATACATCTGATGTTAGTTGGGCTGATATTGGTGGTATGTTGAGAGTTTTCTTTAAAATTTTTTTTAAAAAAAAAGAGTTATGGATATATGTTTATAAAATAACAATATTAATAACAATATATATAGGCTTAGAGGAAACCAAAAAGGTGTTATTAGAAACTTTAGAATGGCCAACAAAATATGCATCAATATTTGCAAATTGTCCACTAAGACTAAGATCTGGGTAATTAATTAATATTCTTTATAATAAAAGTATTATTTATTATTATAATAATAAAAAATTATATTAGTTTGCTTTTATATGGGTTTCCTGGTTGTGGTAAAACATTATTGGCATCGGCTGTCGCAAAAGAGTGTGGACTTAATTTTATTAGTGTAAAAGGACCTGAATTATTAAACAAATATATAGGAGCTAGTGAAAAATCGGTAAATGTTGCCTTTTTGTTTTATTTGAGAGATTTCTATGAATTTAATTCTGGTTGACATATATTGATTGATTGATTGATTGATTGATTTTATTTGTATCTGTTGTAAATATTATTTTTAGGTGAGAGATTTGTTTGATAGAGCACAAGCTGCTAAACCATGTGTTTTATTTTTTGATGAATTTGATTCTATAGCTCCTAAAAGGTCTGAAATTAAATGATGATTAGATATATTAATTAACTAAATATAAGATATTAAACCACCAGAGAAATTGCATAAGTAATCTATACAATAATAATTTATTTTTTCTTTTATTACTATTATTTGTTATTATCATTATCTAGAGGTCATGATAGTACAGGTGTCACTGATAGAGTAGTAAATCAAATGTTAACTCAAATGGATGGTGCGGAAGGTTTAGAAGGTGTTTATGTACTTGCAGCAACAAGGTAATGCATATTAATATTGATGATAATGATTATTAATTTTTATATATATATTATTACTTATAAATTTAATTAATTACCATATATAGTCGACCAGATCTTATTGATCCTGCTTTATTGAGACCAGGTCGTCTTGACAAATCATTACTTTGTAACATGCCAACACAAAAAGAAAGATTTGATGTACATTTATATTTTTTAAAAAATTTGTATTTTTTTTATTTCAATTGTGACTTTCTCATTTTCTTTCAAAAAATTGGTTTTTTTCTTGAAAGATATTAAAAGCTTTATCACGTAAAATGGAATTAAGTGAAGATGTTGACTTGGACGAATATTCAAAAAAATGTGAACATTATTCTGGTGCAGATTTACAGGCATTGTTATATAATGCACATCTTGAAGCAATTCATGACATCATAAATTCTGAAAGAAGTTCGCGGGAAAAAACTAATAATAATAACAACAACACTTCAATAGCAACAACAACTTCAGTACTGGAAGGTTCTGATGAAATAGATACAACAAAATTCGTATCGTTTAATGTAAATTCTATAAATTCTGCTAATACTTTATCATTAACTGCAGCAGAAAAAACAAATATGTCTCATATGGTAAAAAAATTTTTTTTTTGGAAATATAGTGATATTATTATGATGTTGTTAATAATAGATATTGCTGCTTTTTTTAGATTTCACAAATTAAGAAAGGATTTGGATTTAAAAAAATTTCAGATAATGAAAATAATGATGATAATAATAATATTTCAAAAAATAAATCAGTATGTAACAACAATATTTTATAGAATACTTTTTCTCTAAAGTCTTAATTAAAATTTCATAAAAGGATCATTAATATAATTATCTTTTTCAATTTTAGCTTAAAATTACAGATAGACACATGCAAATATCATTTAAAATGACAAAACCTTCAACAACACCCCAGGAATATATAAGATTGGCTGAAATGTAAGAACATTGTTGATTGATTTATAAATTTTATTTTATTTTTAATGTGTAATTTTTAACCTATTTGTTGATAAATATATGATAGATATCATGAATTTGTTACCGGAAGAAATGGTGAAATGCCAAGTGGAATAGCAAGTCATGAAATTGGCCAAAGAGCTACTTTATGTTAAAACTTCTAATCATTTTTAAATAATTTGAATTCTTTAAATATTTAATTTTTGAAATATATTATTTTGCAACAAGTGTTAAATACTTTAAAATTATATATGTATATAATTATGTATAAATATAATTAATTGTCTTTAAATTATTATAATATTTATCTATGTACAATTATTTACCTTTTTTTGAAAAATAAACATAAATTAGATGTTTATTATTATTTATAATTAATCAATCAATTGTCATCATCATTATTTACTATCACCCTGTTCATCAATATTGAAAGTACACCACTTTGACTTGTTAATGCTATAAAAAAAAATGAAAGCGTTGATTTATTTGAAAAGAGATAACATCACACACATACAATATGTATGTGTTTGTTTATGTTTGATGACAATAATTATTAAAAATTAATTTATTTTTTAAATCTTTATTTTAGTGTTAATCATTTAATTTTGGATGAAGCAAATAAATTGCTTGAGCTTGGATTTTTGGAACAAACAGACGAAATATTTGCTTTGTACATAGATAGTACAGGTATATGGCTAGGGATGGGTGAGGCTGAAGACATAAGGCTGTGTATTCATGGTGACTCTGGGAGTTATGGGATAACTCAATGAAGAGAGAACATTGTTTCAAACTCACTCATCCACTAATGACAATAAAAAATGTTAAAATATAAATGTTGAATTATAAAAATTAATACGGAATTAGAGTTTCGGCAACGAATTGGCATTAACTCCAATTCTGGTAACAGTAATAAAAATACGTATATAGTAAAAGAATTCATTATGATTCGCATTCTTGTAATACCAATGTTCACTTATATCACCTAATTTTTTTAAGGCATCAAAATTATTTTGGGGTTGCTAAATTAATTAATGATCTGCAAGACCATTTGAAATAAAGACGTAAAATGTCTTCAAGAAGAAAACCATTTAGAAGCTCAATCAATATTGATAAGATTGCATCTAGACGAAGAAAAGATTTTGAACATACTCTAAGAGATTGTGATGAATTATTAAATTTTATTGCACGTGGATATGTATATGCAACTGAAAGTGCTGTTGATTTAGAAGAAGGTGGATCTGAGGATGAGGTTTTTACTTAATTATTCATCAAAACAGCTTTAATTAAAAACTTCGATAATGTATAATATTAATTAATTAATTAAGGTAAAACAATTTGATGATAATATGAGAAAACTTGTGGATTTTGAGACTAAATTAAAAATAGAAAAAGAATCGATAGAAAAAATTATTGTTAAATGTGATTCAGGACAAGAAATTGTAATAGCACTAATATTAATTAATATTAATAGTATTTTATTTAATCTTAATAATTATTATCATTACTGATATAAAAAGGACTTATTGGATTCTCATGAAGAAGAAGTAAAAAGATTAAACATAATTTTTGATAACAAAAGTGAAAAAGAAAAATATTTTCAAAATGAACATTATAACGAATTTAGACAAAAAGTTTGGGTAAACTTGACAGAATATAAGATATTATCACTTGATATATTTATTATTTATTATTGTTATTAAATTTCAATCAATTTACAACTAACTTGGCTAAATAAGGATGTAAATCATCAAGATGAACCTATGCCACCATTAGATGCTGACGCAGATGACGATGTTGTAGTTGGTAGACAGAAGGAGTCTTTAAAATGTCCAATTACTACCTTGTTATATGAAGAGCCAGTCACAAGGTAAGCTTAACCATTCATAGTAATATGAATAAGAAATATGAGAAGATGTTAAATATAATTATTAATAATGAATGCTTTATTCCTATGATTTAGTAATGTTTGTAAACATACATTCTCAAAAAGTGCAATTTTACAATTGATTTCACGCAATAAAGATGTTGTTTGTTGTCCAATACCTGGTACAATAATAAATATTTCTATCATTGTTTCTATCATTATTCCTTCATTATTGATTTAATTAAATTTAATCAATCCAGGTTGCGATAAACAAATAATGACACATAATCTTCAACCCAATAAAAGAATGGAAAGAAAAGTTGCCATTGCTAAGAGAGATGATCAAATGGAAGATTTAGAGGTAAACTAAAAATTATATTAATCAACCAATTTGTCAATTAATAATACTAACAATATAAATTTTGTTTTGTTTTAGTATACAAATGTTGAATAGTTAATAATATTATTATTAAGAGGGAGAAAGTCACATAAAAATAGAAAATTGCTAAATCCTCCTGAACAAGACTTTTTTGTATATTATAAAATGAGAAAGAAATTAGCTTACAGTAAATTTTCCCTTTTATTAAATCTTATCATTCTTAAAATTTCACGATTATTTATGAACAAGCATTTTATTAAGATTACATCTTTTTATTTATTTTTCTTTAGATTAGATTCTTCTACTTCTATTGCAAAGTAGAATTGATATGGTTGTGTTAAATTTTCATTTTTTATATTTAAGTTATTTATTCTTTTTTGTTAAATATTAAACATGTATTTAGTAATATTTATCTTTTATATTGTCTGACAATTGGTATTCAAATGTATAACCCAGATGCTACACCTACAACAGCAGCAATTAAAATTGGCAAATATAATTAATAGCACAAATTTTTTTGGAGATCAAATTTTCAAGGTTCCTTTACAAAACACATCTCATTTAACCAAGTGTTAGATTCATTTAAATGATTTAACCAAAAGTAAGAAAGGTTTGTTTATAAATACTTTTGATGAATTGATGAATTGATGATAAATTGATAATCAAAATAGTTCTGAATATTTATTAATTATTTATAAGAATGAAGTTGAAAGTGACAAATTAATTGGCAAAGAGATATAAAGAGATAGTTGAGGTTTATGAAGAAGAAGTATCTCTAGGTGTAGTTTATAAAGTAATGGAAAACAGAATAAATGATAATGACAATGATTATGTTTTGAAAATAATGAATTTACAAAAGACCTTTTAAATACATTTGACATTATGAAATAAGCTATTTGAAGCATAATTCATCCTCTATGTCTAATAATAAGCCATTAGTTTATACTGAAAGTGCAGAATCAACTTTACGAAAGAAAAGTTATGTAAATAAGCCTGCTGCTATTGGATCAAAAAAGATTGTATCATTTTTCACATTAATAATTAAGATAAGTTCTGATGGTGAAGCTATTAACAGATTTTCTTTATCACTTGTTATTATATTATTAATACAGTCAAAGCCCTCTATACTGAATCCCCTGTTCTGAAAATTTTGGTTCATTATAGAGAGCATTTGCAATAGACACAATAAAATTTTTATTTTTTTGTTGCATACACGCATTACACACCACATCCACACCACACTGCATACAGCATACACATGCTAAAAAAATCAAAGCCTGGCAGAGACTGAGACTACACCTTGTGAATATAGTAGCAACATTTTTCAGAATGTTTGCAATCATGATCACATCATCCCTCAGGCAAATACTGATTTAAACCTACCCTTTGAACAAACTGATTTGCTCTCAGACTAAGATGCACCACCACACCAACTAAGATAAGATTCTTGCTTTTTTATCTTTTCTTTTGATGTGACTTAAAAATTGCACGAGAACTTATTTCCCATGCCACACTGCAAACTGCATGAAATCATCATCATATGTACATACCCCTCAATGTTATACCCATCTTTCTTATTTTTTTTGTCCTCAATTTCTGCAAATAAAAACAGGCAAAGCAGTTGGGTTACTATATGAATTTAACATGCAAGGATATTCTACACTTACCATGTCAAACAAATTGAAAACTACAAATTTGTACCTTATTCTCCTCCATCTTGACTGCTTTCCAGAGTTTTGTGATGTATTCATTTTCATTCAATGCTAATTTCAAAATCTTTTGTTTATTCCCCTTCTCAGTCTCCCTGTAATTTTCCCAAAATTTGTATTGTCAAGCTTCCTTTGTAGAAATTGAGAGCCTTATTGATCTGCTGGAGGATGTTGTTTAACAACAAAAATTTTACAACATGCAACTTTCATTATTGACAAGAAATTTATAAATCACTTTCTCAGCAAGATTAAGAAAAGGCTCAATGACTGCTCCTTGTTCATTGTCAGTAAAAGAAAAAATTTGTCTTGCTAGCAGAGAAGATTCACAAGTGGGTTACCTTATTGTTATTATCATGATTGTTGACAGTTTCTAGGGTTTGTATTCACGGATACCATAAGGAGGTCACACAGGGTTACACACTATTAAAATCAAGTGTTTTTAAGCATAATGGACATCCTTATAATTGGTAATGATTTTCGTTGATCATATTCATATGGGCGGATTTGACTCATTTCAATAAGTAAATTATTAGTCGCGGGACATTGCAGATCAAGTGTCATTCAATATAAACGTTACACGAATAAAATTATTATCGTCCACTTCAAAAAAAAAAATCTCTGTTTTTCATGTAGTAAGCGATTTTCAACCATAATAAAATTTTTAGAGCCAGACTGGAACTTTTAATGACAGTTAAAAGAAAAGGCTAGCTTAAATATTGGTTACTCTTAGGGATGGTATATAACATGTTATAAAAGATTTGAGTGGTATATACCATATTTATACCTGGTATATACCATGGTATATACCCCTACTAAAAAATTACACAAGAAATTGATTGTGGTATATACCGGGTATAAATGGTATATACCATTTGTTGGTATATACCATTAATATGTAATAAGATAACAATTTTGGTTTGAATATTTATTTATAATAAGAAATACTAATTGTATAATAAACTTATGTTATACATCTTTGTAGAATTCTTGAATGTTATCACTATCTTCTAAATTAATAAATTCATCAAAATCATTATCATCATCATAATTTTCACTATAATCATAGTCATTATAATCAAAATCCCAATAATCATCAATTTCTTCATCTTCATCTTCATCTCCATCTTTATTTTTACTCTTGTCATTGATCTCTGCTTGATATTCAGAATCATTTTTCAATCCTTTTTCATATGAATTAGATAATCTTAAGTTGGAATATATTGAAACAAGTTTAAATACATTTTCATTTGTGAGTCTATTTCTTCTAATATTATGAATATAACCAAAATCACTCCAATTACGTTCTGATGCTGCAGAAGAAGCAGGTATTTTCATTAATTTTATTGCAACCTGACTTAAAATTGGAACATCTTTCTCTAGAGATGTCCACCAAGTGATTGGTTCCTCAATTGCTTCTTTTAACCACAAAAAATTTGAACTAAACCGACTAGACTTGGCATGATATTCCATAATCTCTTTAGTTAATTTTCCAATATTTGCTTTATCAGTAAGTTTGACTGTCTCTTCAACTATATATGAGATACTTGAAATTCTATCTGGTAGATATTTGCCTTTATATCTAGGATCGAAAAAATAAGCAATAGCAATGGCTGGATGATATAATTTTTCATTATAATGATTGTAAATATCCAAAACCTCATCTTTGATAGGAATTGTTGATTTTGAAATTTCATTCCCAAGAATAATAAATCTGTATTTATTTAATTGATATTTAGTAATGATATTTCAAAAAATAATAAAATAAAATAATAAAATTAATTACACTTTACATACTCATTATACACTGATGATAAATTTGGTTTATCACTTTCAAATATTTTAAACATATCAACAAATAATTTTAAAAAAGAACATAAAAGTTCTGTTGCTGGCCAAAATGAATTGGTATCAACTAATTTTGATATTAATTCTGGGGTGATTGTTCTTTGTAAAAACAACAACCTATATAATTTATTTAAATCAAATTATTAAATAAAACATTAGAATGAAATAGCCTTTCATAAATATTTAATATAAATGATAATTACTTGCAAAGCTTTTTTACTTGCAATTATTGAATTTAAACAGAAATTATGAGAGCCCCAACGTGTATTACCAGGTAATTGCAATTGTATTCTTTTACCAATTTTTTCAATTTGGATTCTATTTAAACATGACCCTTCAATATGATGTTTCTTAAAAAATTTAACAATATCTTTGACAGAATCTATAATTTCTTTTGCCCATGGTAAATCTATAATTTTTTTAATAATAAGATTCACTCTGTGTGCAAAGCAACCTGAAATTAACTAAAAATTAGTAATTCTAATAATCATGTTAATTTAAACATTTATAAAACAAATACGTACCTATAAAAATAATTTTGTTAAATTTATTATTAAGAATCTTATGAGCCTTTTTCATGTTGGCTGCATTATCAGTCAAAACTGCAACAACTTTATCTTGGCCAACTTCATTAATTACTTCTTCTAATTTTTCTGAGATATATTCAGCAGTGTGTGATGATTCTTTGGTTTCTAATGCCTTCCAAAATAGTGGTTTTTGGTAAAGTAACCATGAAATTAATAATTGATTTGTTACAGTTGTTTGTCCACTTCTTATACAGACATATTTCAATTTTTCAATTTGATTATTATTATTTTCAGTAATTTCATTATATTTATCATTTAACAATTTGATAGTGAGTGTTTTTCTGGATGATAATTCATAAGCAGGACATGGTTTTTTACAAAATTTGATGAAATACTGATTTTCTACAATTGATAAGGGGAGACCACTACCAAAAATTACTAGAGATAAATATTTGTCTAGTTCTTCTTTTTCTTTAATTGAACATTTATCAATGAATCCTTCCATGACTTTTTGTTTATTTTTTCAATGAACATTATCAAAATCTTTCCTTTTAGTTTTATTTTTTAACAATATTTTAAATTCATTTGGTGCACTATTACAAGAAAGTAAATGTTTAATCATGTGAAGAGGTTATTCATCAAAAGCATGTTGACAATAATTACAAGAAGCTATATAATGCTGCTTGTTATTTTTTCTTTCTTGTGACGTTTTAAAAATGATTCCTAAAATGCTGTGGTCTCATTTTCTGGTTGTGTTAGATTGAGTACTGTACACTTTGTGCAGCAAGTACTGTACGAACCATTTTTAATAATGATAATTGTACTTACATGCCTTTTTTGGGTTGGGTATGTGGGATTTATAATCATACTCAATTTTATGTTCATACAGTACTTGCTTACATGAAGTGTACAGTACTCAACCTGCATATACCCCTCATTTTCTCATTTAAAAATTTTTATTATTTTGTACAACCATGGCAAAAAGTGGTAATGGTATATAACAGGGTATAAACTAGGTTGTTACCTTTAATTCAAATTTAAAAGTTTATTCGAATTATTTCCCCAAAAAAAATCTACAAAAAAAAAGTTTTAAATTTCAAATTCACTTTAAAAATGTGTTAAAAGGATTGGTCAATTGTGCCTGGATTAATTATGTGTTTGTAGTATGACAACACACTTACATTGGATAACAAGATAGTTTGATTGAATTTCACCTTTTTCTAAGATTCCTTGGAGTTAAATTATCTTCTATTTTGCCTTCTCTTAATCACTTTCTAAATAACTCTTTGCTTTCTTCAGAGTTTAATTTGATAATGTTGATAAAGATATCTCTTTTTAGCATCATTTCTTACTGTATAAAGTTTCCCTGTGATGTTGTAGTAATGATTAAACTGATAAGCATAGAGAATCATATTTCTACAAGCCCCTTCAGTAGGATTTCTCTTACAAAATGCAGACCAGTTTTCTTGATTACAATGACACTTCATGACTATATCAAGTGCCTTTATATCTATATCAGATCTGTAACTACTACTTAGAATACTAATTACTCATTGTCTGATTTCTTTGTTATTTAACTGTTTAACATTTTCTTGCTCTTTATCAGCTAATTGCTTTTTCAATGTTTCAATTTCGTTTAATAATTCTTTATTTGCTTGTTGTTGTTCATTTATAATGTTTACCATGATTTTTGTTAATTATATTCTTCAATTTTTAATAAATACTTAATATCTTTCTTTTTATAAAAGCATTATTAAGTATATTTTATTAGTTTATTTTTCATTTATTTTTATATGCTTATTTGTAAGTGTATATATATTTTATACATAATCATTACATTCTTAATATTCTTATGGAAAAATCTATTATTTTTTTTTTAATATATCTATTGTTAGTCAAGAAGTATAAATGAAGAAAATTTGTTATAAATTTTTTTTAAAATAACATTCATTGTATTGCTATTATTTATAAAACTCATTATTTCTTATCATCATTATGAACTAATTTACACTCAATTAGGGTTTTTATTCATGAATATCATGAACCCTACACTCAATCACTTCACATAAATCCAAAACTTGTTTAGATATTAATAAAATATTAATCCAGTTGCTCTTTCCAAAGTATCCAAAGGTACTGATAAATTGGATATTAATATTGATGATGGTATATTTTCATTTGGTAAAACAAATGTTGCTAATGCATAAATTTTACCATCATCATCCTTAGAATCCCTATCAAATTAAAGACTAGTGCTGTAATCCAAAAAAGGAAAAGTATGGTTGCAAAAGTGGTTGCAAAGGTAATTGCGACCACTTTTTATATGCTGTAAATAAATTACTACCATAATCATAATTTACAGCACTAGTCTTTAGCTAAAATAACTTTATAAAAATGTGTTGGCACAGAAATATTTGGTGGATCTCCTATAACTTCAACATAAAATTTTCCTGTATTTGATCTTTTTTGGTAAATAAGCTGTTCCAGTATATATATAAGCCTTCTACAAAATTCTTCTAGATGGGCCCAATCTAAAAAAAAATTAATAAATATTAAAAAAAACCAAAAAAAAAACCAAAAAAAAATAAAAATCATTAAAATTCCCACTTACAACTTCTATTAAATCCAACTCCAATTTGAGGCGCCATATTGGTTAATAGAAAAGTTTCTATCACAGTGTATAAAATTCATGTGCACAACCCCTTAAACTGTGCACAATGAGATAAATATTTTTGTGCAGATTCTAAACAAAAAATTTTAAATATAGTACACAAATTCAATGAGAAATTTTTGCATTATTACATTTTTCTATGTATAATGCACAAAAAAATCAAAAAACTAAACTACTTACAATTTTTTGTGCATACACTGCACAATTCCTCAAAAAATTTCGTACAGCATGCCCAAAAATTGATCGGCAAATTTTATACCCTGATTTAAAATAACTAATTTTACTCTAAATTTCTCGGGTATAATTATATCCTCTTGAAATCTGGATTTTGTTCGGTCTACTGGTACTTAAAGACTAGTGCCGTAAATTATGAGGATGGTAGTAATTGTATTTACGGCATATAAAAAGTGGTTGCAATTACCTTTGCAACCACTTTTGCAACCATACCTTTCCTTTTTTGGATTACGGCACTAGTCTTTAATATTATAGCCTCAAGATCACATCACAATAAAAAATTTCAGTGTTTTGAATAATGATGATAAACATTGCCTTCACTTTTTGTTTCTATTTGTTCATGGTGTGATAGAACTTGTCAGTAATTATAACCTAGAGTCATAAAACCACTTTCATCTCTTTCATCATGGTTCTGTGCCATTTTGAGCTGTTCTTCTTCCATTAATTTGATTACATTTTTCACCATTGCCTTTAAAAACATTTAGTTGACAAATAAGTGAATGATGACAAATTACAAATACCTAAAGTGACACTCACCTTTGCTTTCCATACTAAGCTTATTGTTGGAAGGACTTTTGCACCAAACTCAGAGACCTGAGTCAGTATCTCAAAAAGCCATGCTTGTGACAATCTGTCTGCCTGCCATAAACATATGTAAATAGTGTATTAATTACATAAATCTACATCAGAAAAAATTTCCTAATGTAAAATAAAAAAATTGAGTTATACAAATCAAGAATTAACAAATGCAAAAGCTTATATGATAAAACTGACTGTTTTCAGCATTCTAATTTTACTCACCTGCATTTTCATGGCCTGCAAAGATCATTGAACATATCTCTAAGCATTTTGGGCATTTTCAAACTGCCTTCTTTAATATTTTTGCACCATTGTTGACTTCAAATATCTTTCCAGCTTCACCACACCCATATTCCATATGCCATGCTGACCCATTGTCTTTCTTTTCACTGGAATTGTTGATGCAATAACCCATTGTGTATTTTTTTTTATTCAATGATGGATAGCTGCATGATTCACCTCTGTTGCAAAAAAAAAAGGTGAGAAAAGTTAACCACAATTATAATAGTAGATAAAGGTTTTTTCTAGGAAAAAACTTATCTAACAATCCATCTCTAAGAAGGCTTTATGTAAGAATTACTTTTCTTAACAAAAATAAAAACAATATTATCTTAAAAATGATGTCCTTTATATAATAAAATTACATAGATTGATATGATATAAATAAAATATAAATAATAA